TCTTTTTGGTTTTGTTATAAATTGAATCCACCGTGTCACAGGGCACAGTGCTGTTCTCAGCACGACTGGTGGCAACAAGTAGCTACCCAGGAATTATATGTATTGTGTGGTAGCTGGGGAGAACCTCTTGTTCCCAGCATCTCTGACCTATCTGTGACTTGTCATGAAATTGTGGAACTTAAGTAATGGATGATTAGGCTGTGAGAAAATAATTTTAGCCACTGGTTAACTGAGTTTACTTATGTGTGTCTCATTGTCTTCAGAAGCTGGTGAGGTAATAAATTTAGTAAGATGAAGTGTCCAGCTCAGGTTCTTAAATGGGAAGCAAGGCAACCTGGTGTTGCAATGAATGGTGATGCTTTCCTGAGGGAATAATGGATGTTACTGTCCAGACATAAACCAGTCCTGAGGTATTAGAAGGCAGGTTGAGTCCTGTGCAGGCAGTCTGGGATTCTCACACCTCTGGGTGTGGGAAGTGTCTGGTATTGTTTTGGATAAGACATGAGGTCAGGTGACCCTGGACTTGACCTCCTGACATGGAGGCATCAGCAGCACTCTGCCCAGCCTGGGGCTCTGCACAGCTTTCTGTTGTGACAGCACATCTCCCATTTGCTCAACTTTGCTTAGCTCATATCAAGATAAGTCTTGATATTGTTTAACACAGGTTTGCACCCAAACCACGGACAACAGTTTAACGGTTACTGTAGCTTTAGATGTTGCCAAACTTGCAGGCGGTGAGAGAGCTGTATTGGAACGTGGAGGGTCTTTAAAACACCAGCCTGGGTCTTAAAAAATGATTTGGGATGCTGGTGAGTAGTTGTCCCACTAGTTACTTGTCTTGCAAACTTCAGTTGTCCAATGAATGAATCAAGTTTTATTTGAATTAATCTTGAAGTAAAGGATGCCTGAAGAAGCAAAACAACTTGGCAGTTTGTGCTGCAGTGAGCTCGCTGCAACCTGGAGTTACTCTTTCCCACACATCCCCCACCCTGCCAGTGCTCAGGTCTTGGCTTCCACCTCTGGATTGGTGCAGTGGTCCCAACCCCAACCTGGACTTCCCAAGGTTGGAGTGAGGAGCACAGATGGGCCCTGCTGGGCAGGAGAGGAAGGACCTGGAGATGACTGTGCACCTCTGGATGCATGTTGAGGGATGTGAGGAGGCAGCCTCTGTCCCTGTCCCTGCACAGTTGTCTTGCCCGGACAATGCTGAGTAAAGTGGGCAGGACACCCTCCTTAGGGGGTGGCTTAATTACAGCCAGACAAAGCCTTGGTGATCACAGCCTCCAGTAAAGCTTCTGACGACTGTGGTTGCTCATCCCAGTGGAGTGGGACCGCACAGGGCACTGTCTTCACAGCTCTCTTGTGCTGGGTGAAATTGTGTTGGGGGGGACAAGAAAATAGCCCAGTGTCTCAGGATGAATCAGCCATCCATTTATATACAGCTCCTGCTTCTCCAGTGGTGCCAGGCAGTCCTGCACGGCGATGGGCTGCGCAGATAGGGCAGTGACTCTCCTCTTGTGACAGGAGGGTTTATGCCAGGCAGTTGTGGCTGGCTACTGTTGGTGACAGGAGAACAGGATTGGGACTGAAGAGCTTCCCTACTCTCTGGGCATTCAGGGCTGAAGATCTGATTGCTAGGTCATGACTGTTCAAATGTTTTGGGTTGGAGGTTCAGCCTATATCCCTAGGAGTTGAGGAGATGAGCATAGAAACAAGAATTTTCTGATTTGGTGTCTTTTCAGATTTGATTTTGCAATTCTCTCATGTTTTAAAGGATTTTTGCTAGGCCATTATACAATTTGCTACTGGGTTCCTTTTCCATCTGTTCAAAGCTCAACTTCATGGTGGCACACAGTTGTGCTGTGGTTGTGCTGGCCAACTGCCAGCAGCTTTGAACCTGGTGGCCATTCCTCAGTTCAGTGAAAAGCTCAAAGAACAGTAAAGCTTTTAAAAGTTCCTAAGGGATCTCTGAAACCACAAAGCCAGTGGATAGAGACCTTGCTGTACACTGCCCAAGAAACAGGATGTACTAGGCTCAAACCATATAGTAGCCATGAGGAAAATAAAACCCCACAATCATGTAGAAACTAATTATCCAAATACTAAATCCATGAGGGACCTGGTTTCCTTAGGTCTGCTGTTGATGGAGCTCTTTGCATGGCAGAGGAAATGAAATTGCTCACAAAGTAGAAACTAAATGAGTGGAAAAAATTTCTGGATTGCCTGCAACTATTTGTCAGTAGTGTAAGGCAGACAAAGGTTAAACATTAATTTCTATCTATCCCTTCTGGACTTTTTTTTCACTTGCCCGGTGCTAATTCAGTGTAGCAGTCTGGAGGGTGGGATGGCACACGCGGTGCTGAGGGCAAGAGGTGCTTTTGGGTGAGGATACAGCATGGAACATCCACCTCTGTGGGATACCCTGCCAGGCCAGGGCTGCTGGTGCCAGGTAGGCCAAGTGCCACTGAGCTGCTGGAGGGGGTGTGTGCTCTGCCTCAGGCAAGATGCTGCTCACAGCAGGAGGGTTTGGCCTTGGCAGCCAGGGCTGCTGCCTCGGTGAGATCTCCTGGTGCAGCCAGGGCCCTTCTGTACGGTGGTGTCTGGACAGATGAGGAGGTGATGACTGAGCCTGTGCTATAACCCCTGCCCTGGGTTTCTCCAAGCCCGTCACTTATGAGTCACTGTTTGTTTATTTACTGAGCACACACAAATCATATCAATACAGAGTGAGGCTGTTACAGACACTGCTGTTTGGACATCAGGCTGTTTGCAGAGCAGAGGCAGAGTAGTTGCACAACCTCTGTAAGTAGTCGCCCATTCCTAAGAAAACCAGTCAGATAAATCAGTTTGTCCACCTGACCAATTGCTTTAGCCCAATGACCAGACTCTCTGCTTGCTTTTACTGTGTAAGGGGTTTGATTTTCCTGCTGCAAATGTGTGAGCTTTGTATCATCTTTCCACCTCCCCTACTGCATAAAAGCATTAAGTCAAAAGCTGTAAGAGCATCACATCCTTATGGCTGCATTTCACTTGGGAAGGGGCTGTATAAAAGGTATGAGTAACTTAATTTAATGTGGTTACTTGTGATTTTAATTTTTAATGCTAGAGCTTCCTCTCCACAGCCTAAGCCCCAAGCCCCATTAGGAGTGCTGGTATCACCAGCAGAGCAGTGACCAAGGCTCAGCTTTGGGTGCAGTGTTTAGTGCTGCACACGGATATATTCACCTATGTAAGAGCTTATGGTGGGGTTGTCACCAGGAACCTTTCTAAATATGACATCTGAAGGTAAGATGCAGGTGTGTCTTTATAACAGCAAGGAATTGTTCCTGTAACCATGCAAGAAATATGTATATATACAGCAGTTAGAATAAAGTGAGGCTTTGCTGTTTGGCTGAAGTTGTAGGATCACAGCAACCCACTTCAGATGCTGAAGAGAATCTGCTTTAGCGCAGTCCTCAGCTCAGATAACAGGCCATGGGTAGGTGCTAGCTGTTGAGCTAGCTTGAGAGAGCTGGGAATCTCTGTTTATAATTAATGTAAATAAGTCATGATGGAAAATTGTCATCCTCCTCTTCTTTGAGTCGTTTTTATCCATGACACCAATGATTGCAACATCAGTGTGAGTAATCCCAGGCATGGGATTTATCTAAGGCTCTGTTTCATCCAAGGTTTGACTGTTTGTTTGCAGTGTTGTAATACTTTACAAACAAGGAGCAGAGCAGCCCTGTGCGGAGGTGTCTGCCCTCTTTGGGAATGGTGGCCTGTCTTCTTCTCACGCTCACAAGAGACAGAAGGAGGAACTAAACACATGAGGCACTTTAAGAAACGAGCCTGCAAAATCCCACACCACCAGGCAAGGCTTTGTTTCGCTCAAACATTGAGCCCTGAATACTTCAGTCTTGGCTGACTACATGTGACAAGCGAGTCAGACCAAATGTCCATCCAGCTAGTAGCAGACAGTAAGGGAAGAGGCTGGTTTGCCCTGTGCTCTTGGCAATGCCCTGAGCCAGAGGATACAGCCCAGGAGTAAAAAAAAAATAATAGTGTTAAGTGTTAAAAGAATAAAAGTGCTGGTGAACCCATTCTACCTTGATCTAACCCTTTTATGAACTTGACTAGTTTGGATCTGGAACCTGGCAATGAGTTACACAGCTCTGTGTCATTTGGAAATTAACTTCCTTCTAAGAAAACAGATTTTGTGTTCAATGTCAGCTGCTCTCTCCTGCCCTCTAGAATAGCATATCACCCTCTCATAAAACTTGCTGGTCTTTACTCTCAGGGTTTGAAAGGCATATGGTTTCGCTTTGGCCAAGTATCCCGTAATGTCAGCTTGCATTTCTGACATCTTTTGTCATGGTGTGAGTGTTTATGGCAACTGTGTTGTGCTAGAGGGTTTTTTCCTTGAAGGTCAGGGTAGTTGCAGATGAAATAGCCTGTCCCTCCCTGTGCCAGCCCTGTGCTGTACCTCTGCAGTTTCTAATAAATGTTTGCTGATTAGAATAATTACCCTTGGAGTAACCCTAATTGTTCAAAAAGTTACTTACCAAGTCAGGTCCTGCCCCTCTGCCTTATAGTTAGGAGCCCTTTTGGTGGACCTAGGTTTGCAAGGAGGACCATTTTGCATAACTAGGAAAACAAAACTGTACACTCTAGGCGTGAAGTTTTCCTACCCCCTGAAATCGGACACTGTCTCTCTTCAGGTGAATACAAAATACTGAAAGATGCATAATAAAAAATAACAGGAGTTGGAAGCAACTGGCCTGACACCTCAGCTCTAATTTATAACAGTGTTCAGCCACTGCCTGTACTTGGCAGAGGTACTGGCTTCTGTGAACAAGTCACCCAGCTTGAACCATGCTTGGCCATTCTCCAGGTTTAGTGTGGCATTTTTCTGGGCAGGCAGCACCTTTATCATGCTGGTTCTCCAGGGAAGTCCCTCACAGAGAACAAATTTCAGTGGATCATTTCCTCATTCTGCTCTTCTGCTTCTACTTTCTCAGGCTAAAAGTCACCAGGAGCTTTTCAGCTGGGCAGTAGCCATATGGCCCCTGAACTGGCATAAGCATGAATGCAGCTGTGGCAGAGGCTGTGGAGCTTGCTCACATCAGTGGAAGGTCTGGTCCTTCTGTGCAGTGGTGGTTACTCAAGGAACCAGGCAACCCCTGAGGAGCAGCTGACTGTGACATTCCCCCTGTTCTCCTCCTGGCTGCTTGGAGCATCCTGAAGCCCAGCAGGTATTTTCCACTCAGCTGTGGTAGCAGGCTGTGTAGATAAATAGCTACATATTCAGCAGGCTGAGCAGAAGGGCCTGTGTGTGTCTCCATTTAGACTGGTCTGGACTTTGTCATGTTTTGCCTCCCCTTCCCAGATGTTTCCTTCTGCACTTCAATAAGGCAGGGTATGGCATCACTTTTGGTTTTGTCTTTCGAAGAGTAAACAAAACAGAAGGCCAAAAGCTAGCTACTTAAAACACATTCCTCTGCTGTGACTGGGGAAAAATCTCGACTTCAGATACAGGCATCCACTGTTTGCATTGCTCATTCTCCTGGCAGGGGCTATGGTTTTGTCTGCCTCACTTGGTTGAAGCCTAACCTTTCTGATGTTTCCATTTTTGAAATGCCTGATATGCTGTTTGTTCTTCCCATGGATCCTGGGTTTCAGCTGCTTCTCACAACTCTGGGAGATGATAAAAAGAGATCTCATACAATGGGTCAAGGTACAGTTCTAGACAGGAATGTGCTTGGTCTTGACAGGGCTTGGTTTATCTGTCAGGCTCATTGCAGGCCTGGCATTGAGCTGAAAGGCAGAGACAGAGGAATGTGTCTGCTCTCCAAGAGGGAGTAAACCAGACCAAGAAATGCAGGGCTGGGTGACTTGCAGTGGGACATAAATTCTTCTGAGAAGGCCTAAGGTGCTGCAGGAGACAGTGGCTTCTCCTACATCTCAGGATGACTCCAAGCAGCACATCTGAAACTCATTGAAGCTGTAGCACCTCCCTTTTTTTTTTTACTTGTCCATCTTCCTGTGACAACCAGCTGCTTTCTTCCCCTTTCTGTTTTCACAGGAGAAAAAACAGAACAAGTTGCTTCCTGAAGGTGGAGTTGGGAGAGATGGCTGTGATCACTGGGTCCTGCCCCTTCACTCCAAAGGGTTTTTTCTGCTGCCAGGAACTGCATGTTGCTGTTCCTTGGTGTCTGTGAGTGCTTGGTGAACTTTACCCTTGGAGCAAGCCTGAACTGCTGAGGATATTCAAGAGATAAAGTGAAATCCAGAAGCTGAATATAGGCACTTTTTAAGGGTCGGGACATGTTAGGAACTAGCCTGCTGAATCTGTGTTCGGAGTGGAGAATTCACATCCATTTGCAGAAGACTGAAGCTAGTCTGTGAGATATCCTCTGCCCCTCCCATTCCCCAGCACTTAATACAGTATTAAAGTCTGTTGCAGCAGTTTGAAGGACTCACACTTTCCTCTGTACAACGGTTTATATCTAATACAGTAATGTTTATGCTCTTCCCTCGTGCTGGTGGTGAATCTCCCTGTGTGACAAGCTCTTCATTCATTGGCATGACCATGGCAAGCCTGCTTTTAGCACTGTTTCCAAACTTAGCCAGTGCTTAGAACAGATTGTTAGAGAACAGCAAGCTGGCACTGCTAACAAGGTGAGCTCAGGGGTTGTTCTGGGCTCTCAGCTGTCTGCCGGGTCTCTGTCACCTCAGAAATAGCCTTCCCTGTTACAGAGATCCCAAAATGCTGCAGCCAACCTGCCTCACACTGGGCTGTAAGAGAGAGACAAGCAGGAGCTCAGACACTGGGTACCAAGTAGGATCATTTGCACTGATTCTTCTGGCATGAAGAGGGTTTACTCCACACAAAGACTTGTTGCAATGTGTTTCAACAAGGGAAACACTTTTTCCTTGCTTGGCAGAAGTATTTGTAGCCACACTGAAAGGCTAGTTTGTTACCAGGGAGCTTGTAAGATGTTTGTCCACTTAATCACAAAAAGCTGCAGAGACTGTAAGGATGTTTCTGCAGGTGTCAGAGGGGCCAGCTGGAAGGGAAAAGCAACAAGAATTCCTCCCCATGCTGCTTCCATCTGCCAAGTCATGAGTGCCACCCTGCAATGTCATCACTGTGGGACATGGGCACCACGGTGGTGTTTGAGAATGTCCCGTGGGAACCCACAGTCAGCACCAGTTGGTACTGGTCAGCCTTTGGTTGGTATCTGGCAGGACAGAGCCTGGCTGGCCAGAGCAATGGCTGCAGAAGAAAGGTTGAGCCCGAATGAGAGAGGATGGTTTTAAAGGGAGGCATCAACAGCTAAAATTTCCTCCTCTTCCTCAGACAAGCTGAGGGAGTCCTCAGGTTCAGCTTCTCCGACCTCTACTAAGTGGGATAGTCAAGCAGTTGTGGATGTTGCTGTAGGAGCAATGACATCACTGACTGAAAGAAACATTCCTCCTTCTTCCAAGGGGAGCAGTGGCTAAACTGAAGATCTCTCCTTTCTCAAGCAGCTCTGGGAAATTTCTCACAGTGATGAGTTTCGTTCCATTTGGTGGGTTGGTGATGGATTCTTTGTTGCCATCAATAAAGAAATGTTCAAGGATGAGGTGCTGGCGAGAAGAGGACTTGGCAGAGCCTTTGAAATGGAGAGCATGAGCAGTTTTCCTCATCATCTTGACCTGTATGGGCTGTGCGAACTGCCATGTCCAGGTTGTCTAACTCCAGGGATGAATTTCCAGCAGAAGTAGCTGCTTCAGCTCCTACAAAGGTACATCAGTTCCTTTACACATGAACTGCTGGGGGAGAGTGACGTTCATACCAAATAAGCCTCCGACATAAATGTCCTCACTTTCATTGCTTCTCAGGGCATTTCTCGGGTGAAAACCCCAGGGCTGGTTATCACTTAACAGAACCATATTGTAACATTTGGGAGAGCCTAAACTTGAGGTTTCATATGCCCCTAAAAGTCCTTTTCAATACCCAAGTTTGGCTTTTGTCTAAAACTAACAGTCTTTGTTCTCATGTATTTGTGTTTTTCAGGCTTGAACTAACTCTCCTCCTTTGCACTTTTTAGCTTCTATGAATCTGTTACAGCCCCAGCTTTAAGATGGAGCATCCCCAGGTGCTGGAAAAGTAGAAGCCAAGAGTGGACCACAAAAGGAGGGCCCCAGCTGCATCATGTCTGGATGAGGAGCTGGAGGAAAGCTGCCAAGATCTTTGTCCTGCACAGGGAACTGCTGCTGGCGTGGAGAAGGAGGTGTTCACACCAGTTCCAGCACAGGACATGCAGGTGTCTGCTCACAGAGAGTCCGCACTCGCCAAGGTAAAGCAACTAATGGCTAATGCATGTCCCTGCATACACAGACCCTGTACACCCTGAGATGCTGCTCCCCCACTTCCCAACCCTGCTGGAGAACTTCTGGGCTGCCCCATCTCTGTCATCACCACTCAGCAGCCAGGCCCCAGCTGGGCTCCAGTGTGCTGCTCCAGCTGCACCAGGCTGCACCTCCCACACCACAGCTGCCACTTTTGGCACCAGGGTGGGCTGTCCCACTTTCCCCATGTGCAATCCAGCACAGTTCCCTGGGCTGGTTCCTCTCCCTGATATCCACAAGGACATTTCTGCAGGTGTCAGAGGGGCCCAACTGGAAAGCTTCCCAAAGGGGCACTGGGATGCCCAAGGCTGCAGCCATCCCTGCTCCTCCCTGAGGAGCACGGGCACCACAGTGACATGTCAGAACACTCCATTGGAACCCGCAGTCAGGGGCATCAGCTGGCCTTTGCCTGCTGACTGGCAGAACGAGGTATGGCTGTGCAGGGCCATGGCCAATGAGGGAAGCTTCAGTCCACCTGTAGCAAAAGGAAAGGGAGCTGATTCCCACAGAAACAACACCCCTTTCTACTCCAGATGCACTGGGGCAGCAGGCTGACACAGCTTCCCCTGGCCTGCCAGGACAGGGGGAAATCGTGCCCTGTGACACTGCCATACAAGTGATGGAGAAGGAACAGGACATTCAGCCTAGCAGGGACAGACGCAAGACCAAACGAGGCCCTCCTGTTTCCAATGAGAGCACAGGCAAGGACAGTCAATTCTCACCTCTCTACTTTCCACAGAAACTTTGGGAAATGCTGGAAAGTGACCAGTTTCGGTCCGTTTGGTGGAGCAATGGTGGAAAATGTGTTGCAATCAATGAAGAACTCTTCAAAGAGGAGGTGCTGGGCAGGGCAGGACCTCAATGGGTCTTTAACACGCAGAGAATCGAGAGTATTATTCGCCAGCTGAACAGCTATGGATTCACCAAAATGCAGCAGGATGACCAGAGATCTGCCTCCCTGCCTGAATTCCTGGCAGAGGAAGGAGCAGTTTCTGCTCACAGCCAGGTACAGCAGCTGCTCTGCCCATCAACTAATGCTTGTGGTAGTCTTGGGGGAGAGAGGGACCTTCACTGCAAATAGGGCCTCACCATAGAAGAGATGTAGATGGGAATGAGAGGTCTGGTTTTCATTTTGTTCTCAGGCCGTGCTCAGGCAGGTTTGAGTTAGTCTTTCTGACTACTAGAAATGCAGATAAGACACAGTTTGGTGAGATCTGCTGAGTCTGAGCCCATTAAAGGGAAAGACAGACTCAGCATAACCTGATTTCTCCGAATGTCTTTGCTCTGTGTCTTGCTGTACCAAATCTGAAACCTTCCTGCAGCACCTGCTGAATGCCAAGCAGATGCATTTAAGGAGTACAGGGTTACCTGACTGCTCGTGTCCACACTGAAACTGCTGAAAAATAATGGTATTTGGCTTTTGAAAGCAGTTGTTCTCCTTTTGAAAATCCTACACTGCTCTGTCCCCAGAGGGCAAAACCCCAGGGGCGGCGACGACTGAACACAATTTTCACATAATGCTTTAGCCTGAGCTTTAGGTTCCATACAGCCCTCAGAGGCCTCTTCTGTGTCCATGCTCCTCCTCTTTTGCAATTCAGAGTCCTAGTTCTTGTAGCTTGGGGTTTTCCATCTTGGGAGGATGGCAACTAACTCTTCTCCTTTGCCTGTTTTAGATCCTCTACTACTATAACCCCTGCTTCAACAGAGCACATCCCTGGCTGGTGGAAAGGTGCAGGAGGAGAGCTGCCCTCAAACGGAGAGCCCTGGGTGCAGCAGAGTTGGGTGAAAGGCCCCTTCAGAGGCCCAGAGGGTCAGTCTGTGGGAACATGCAGGTGTCTACTAAAGCCCACCCATGCCCACTGGCAGCTGCTCCCTTGCTTCCAGAGCCCGATGGAGCACAGTACAGATATAAAGTCTAATATAATTAATTATAGATAAAGCCTAATATAGTTGGCAATAAACTGTTTGAACAATAAGCCTTTTCCAGTTGTTCTGCCCTTTTTGAACAGTGGAAAACACTGCTCTTCTGTGGCCTTATTGTTCCCACTTGTCCTTATGTGGCCTTAGCAAGACAAATGTCCCAGCACAAGCATGTGGAAGTGTTATGGTAGTACCAAGAGGTGCAGCAAAGGCTGAGCTCCTGTTGGCACTGGACAGAAGGGCAGCCAGATGCCTCTTCTCCCTGAGGATGAAATGCTGGAAGGGCAAATGACCTGTGCAAGGAAGCGACTGGTTTGGGTGATGGGCAGTGGGCTAAACTCACTCTCTGGTTCTGCCTGCCTCAAACTGGCTTGGAAATACTTCACTGCAGAAGGGACTGGCTTTGCTAACTACAGTCTGTTCACAGGGGGGAAAGTGCTGTGGGGGAAAAGGTCAGGGGTGTGCCACAGATTTAATGCTGGTTGGAACCACGGCTACTCTGATGTTTTGCAAACAGAGGCATCTTTCCCTTCAGCATGTAAAGGTGGCAAATGTAACAGATATTTAGGGTTGTTCTGCAGTCTGCCCTGGTCACATTGATCTGCCATTCCTCTCCACAGCGTGCAGGAATGGTATGTGGGAAGGAGAGCAGGCAGCCACCCTGGGTCTTCAGGAGGAGCAAGGCCCCTGGGACTGTAGAGCTTTAGAAGAAGGACCAGGCAGTTTTGTGCTTGTCTGTGCTGACCAAACAGTGCTGTCAGCAGGAGTTTCTCTAGGAAGGTTGATGTCCCCCTCCCCACTCTGCTCTCAGCATACCTGACTGTTCATCCTTTAGCTCTTCCCATGTAACACCTTGCGTGGAAATTCGATACCTGTCTGTCAGCAGGGGCAGACTGATACACTCCTCTGAGTGAGGACCTGGACTTGGGATATTTTGGAACAAAGACTCTTTCCATAAGATTATAGGCTTAAAAGTCAAGGCCAAACATGACCCAGCCCAGCGAAGAACATTGATTGGAAAGCAGCCTAATGGAGAGAAATGGAAACTGAGGCAACTGGCACTGGTAATACTGATCTGGTTTGGTAGGTGGGTGGTGCTGGACTGTGCAGCATTACCAGCGCCAGGGTCTGTGTGGCAATGCCCCTGCTGGGTGTGGATGCCTCACACGTGGCCCACAAGTGGGGAATTCCGTGTCCCAAAGGTCTCAGCTTCACTCCTGTGAACTCAGCTAGCATTTTCCTAGTACCACTCTCTTTGCACTTTGGGTTCTGGGTTGATGCAATCATGAGTTCAGCGAAGCCTGAACTCCTCTCACCCCTGCAGGCACCAGCAGGGAAAGTTCAGGGACTGAAAGCAGCCACCTGCCCTTGATCAGCAAGATCAGCAGAGCTGGTGCCATTGGTACCAAAGAATTTAAAGGTGGGTTTGAGCTACATTCCTGTAACAGATTTTAGGATCTTATAATGGTTTAAGACACGAGAACCAATGTAAGTGGTCAGAGAAACTTTGTATATGCCAAGAAAGCTGATGATGGGATTCTTGCTGGATCCAGTTTGCCAGGTTTTCTCACTCCTGAATTCTTCTCCTTTAGGCTTGTTCTAGGAATTGTAGGCATGTGTGAGCTCCCTTCCCTCCCCCTCTCCTGGATGGCTGAAGAACTGTGTAGCTTCACACCGGGAGTAGCAGTGTATTCCTCTGGCACTCCAGCATATGTCCTGGTGTCACTGTGTCTCTGTCCCCTTGTCACCCTTCCCCTCAGCAGTGGTACAAATCACCCGCAAAGACAAGGCAGCAAATAAAACACGGTATTGCAATTAACAGGGTGCTTTCTGGCTCTGTGTCCAGCAGTTGCTTCAGATCCGAGACAGAAATATTTTGTCTCGATGGTCCAAGCAGCTCCAGAGCCCAGGCTTTGCAGACCCTTTGCTTTACAACAGCAGACACCCTGAGCATGCTGAGGGCTGAGGAGGGTTAGCAGCTCCCCCAGCCCTGTCAGCTGGTTCCCGTTGTTGCTGTGATCAGCTCCTGTCACTTTCCTTCCCTCTTTTCAAGGCTCTGATAACAAGCACCTGGGGCACCCAGGTAACCTTTGGCTGAGCTTCCTATTTAAACTCCCATGGCTTTTGCTTCATTGCCTGGTTGTTACGCAGCAGTAAAGATGTGTTCTGATAGCAGCAGAGGCTGCTCCCCTCCCCTTTCCCCTCTTATGCAGGATCAAAGCTCTCTGAATTTGCTTGAACAAATTTGCATTTAGGTCAGTGAGAGACTTACTTGAGGGAAAGATTTTTCTTTCCCTGTCTTTTTCTTAACTCTGTAAGAAAGGATAATAAGCACAAAGGCAGGTGGGAGAAAAAAACCTGTGGTCTATAAATAATTGGATTTGGCACACATGGGAGGACAAAGTCATTAGTAAGAGAGAAAATAGCTGATGTGGTAGCAAGCTACATCTTCAGTTGATGTAAAGCAGCCTCTCCCCATGGAAGCGATGGGACTATGTCACTGCCATCAGCTGAGCTGCTTGGTGGACCTGTTCCCCTCTGCAGTGCCCAACCTGTCTGCAGCTGCCTTCTTATGCAGCAGCAGTGAGGGAGGTTGAACAGCAAGTCTCTGGAATACCAATCTTCATTTTTTGGCTCCTTGTAGCTATGTGCTTAGGTTGCCTAAGTCCCTGCTGTGCTCTCAGGATGCAAAGTGGCAATAACAGGGTGGCGGTCACATCCCAGATGGTCATTTTGACATGTGCCAAAGCATTGCAGGGTTGGTTGCTCAAGGCTCCTGCCTCCATCTCTAGTGTGCATTGGGATGGGACACAAAACAGCTGTGGAAGACCCTGCTGGGATTGTGGTGGTCATGGGGATAGGATGACCTTGTTCTGAGAGTGCTGCTAGCAGCTGGGAGACCTGGGAATAGTCGCTGGTTCCATCTTAGCTTGTGCACACTGCCTTGACCAATTCCACATCTTTTGGGGCTTTCTCTGTAGATGGTAAAAACTTCTTCCCTCCACTGGTCTTGTTGAGCCCCTCAGCTTTTTCAAATCTCATACATTGCCCCTCAGTTGGAATATTCTCAAAACTGCACAGGTATGTGTAGAGACTGACGTGCCCAGCAGTTTAAGTATTAACAGGACACGTGAGAACTGGGGTTTGCAATATAGAAGTGGTAAACATTCAGTTTGGTTGCTAAACTTAGACCCACTCACCCTAGTGAGAAGTTCACAGCTTTCTGTGAACTGGATTGGGCTCAAAGTCAAAGGTTAATTGTAATTTCATGGAAGAATGACTCACCTGAATTCTGGGTGGGTCTGATGCTCTGCAAGAGCTTTGCTGCTTTGCAGCGTGCAGGGACCACAGCCCTGGCAGGGCTGGCAATGCAAGGCTCTGTCGATGTGACAGAGGTGGCAGATCCTGGGCTTCTGGTCTCTTCCTGATTCACGGTGATACAAATAAGGCCAGGGAAAATACCAGATAAAACCCACTGGGAAATACCAGATAATGTCTAGGTCGCAAGCTGTGAAGTGGCATTTTAAAGAGGCGAGCTCAGCGCTTTTTCCGCCCAGAATTATGGTAGTCCTCACAGAGAAGCTGACTGGTTTGGCCTGATTCATCTTTAATGAAATCATGTTGCATTTTATCCCATTTTCCTGCCCATTTCTCCCTCTTTAGCAAGCGGACGCTGCCGGAAGCCCCCGCCTGCCCCCCGGTGGCCACCTGAAGGACGGCAGGAGTCCCTCCAGCCGGGGTGACACCGCGGGGACAGCACAGGGCCCGAGGTCCTTCTCCCTGCCCACACCCCGGGCAGATAATGCCACAAAGATGTTTAAATGGCTGACTATCCAAGTGGCTATCCAAGACCCCACCGCCTCCACCACTGGACCCGGTGTGTGCCCATTGTTCCTGAGGGCCCTTTTTTTCCCCCAAGACCTTGGCATGAATATTCTTTAACTGTTTTTCTTTTGACATGTGTCCTGGACTGCCACAGGTGGGAATGACTTGCCAATGGGCTGCTGTCACCTCTGGCTGTTGGTGTTGAGCAGTGGCACCCCAGGGCTGATGACTTGGTAAGAAGTGGCCATCCATGGCTACCAGTGTATTATCTAGAAGGTGGGTTGGGGTTTTTTTGGGTGGTGGAATCCTTCAATTGAAGGAAACGTTCCCACTTCATGTTTTTATCAGTGGGAGTGCAATCACATGTTTCTGGTTTTCTGTTGCTCTAGAATGGATTGTAAAAGGCTTCCTTAGTGCCTTAGGCATATTTAGAATCATTTATGTGTTCTGTTTTATTTCCTTGCAGAGAAAAAAAAGCTAATACTCAAATGCCAAAGCATTTAATGGGGAACAGCTCAGGCAATGCTGGAAACTGCTTCAAATTTCTAGATCCAAAATCCATAGCTATGTGGGCAGAAAGGCCATGTCTGAGGGAGGAATGTTTTTTTCAGACACAGTAACTCAAAGGGCAGGGGGAATGCAGAGCTTTTCAGGCACAAACACCCTTGAATCAGCCAACTGACTATGGCAGGAGGACAGTGCAGCAGGGAGAAGGATGGATGGCTTCCCTGCAAAGAGCAGTTCATGGGATTGTGTTCATGGCTTTATGAACAAAGCAGGAGTGATTCAGAAAAAGGGAACCAGAACAGCTCCTGACCCAAGGATGCCTGAGTGAGGGTTTGGGCTTTGCTCCCCCAGCCCCTGATTGCTGGGCCATTCATGGCTGGAGAAGATGACACTGCTTTTGGGTCTCCTTCCAGAAACAGTGTGTCCCCTGCTCCATCTCTCCCACGTGGTTTTAAATCCACTAGTTAAAAATAGAAAAGGGCAATCCCTTTCGAGCAGTTTGCAAGGACAGTGGGCTGACATCAGGGAATACCTGCTGCTTTGGGGCAGGGGATATCAGGAAAAGGATTGTCCCTACTGGAGCTGCTGCTTCTGCATTGCAGTGCCCAAGGGAGAAGGATTAAGGACAAACCTGCAGGTGTCAGAGAGGCCCAGCTGGAAAGCTTCCCAAAGGGGGCACTGGGATGCCCAAGGCTGCAGCCACCCCTGCTCCTCCCCGGGGACCCACTGCTGGGTGCAGCCTCTCTTTGCCTGCAGCCCACCACCACAGCTCTGTGGACTGCTGGGCTCTGCAGTCCCACCACCACCGGTGCCTCTGGGAGGGAGAAGCAACAAGTGCCCTCCAGCAGCTTCTCCTTAGGCTGCTCCCCTCTGCCAGGGCACCAGTGCCAACCATCACTGAGATGTCACCTGCGATGTCCCCACTCCACAGCACGGACACCACAGTGACATGTCAGAACATTCCACTGGAACCCGCAGTCCACTGGTGCCAGTTGGCCTTTGCCTTCTGACTGGCAGGACACGGGTGAGCTGTCCAGGGACGTGGCCATGGAGGGAGAGTTCTCCTCCCTTCGCTTTCCGCAGAAACTTTGGAAAATGCTGGAAAGTAGCAGGTTTCTGTCAATTTGGTGGAGCGAAGGTGGAAAATGTGTGGCCATTAACAAAGATCTTTTCGAAAAGGAGGTGCTGGGTAGGGCAGGACCTCAGCGGCTTTTTGACACACAAAAAGTGAAAAGTTTCATGCGACAGCTGAATGCGTACGGATTCACCGAAACAAAACGGGATGACCAGAGATCTGCCTCCCTGCCCGAATTTCTGGCAGAGGAAGCAGCAGTTTCTGCTCACAGCCAGGTACAGCAGCTGCTCTGCACATCAACTAATGCTTGGAATAGTCTTGGGGGAGAGAGGGACCTGCCCAGAAGGACCTTATTAGGTCTCATCATAGAGGGCTGTTTGTGGGTGGAGAAGCCACTTCTTACAAGGGGTCTCATAAAAAGGAGGGCAGAGGGTGACAGGACAAGGGACAATGGTTTTATACTGAATGAGAACAGGTTTAGATTGGATGTTAGGAAGAAATGCTTTACTGGGATGGTGGTGAGGCACTGGAACTTGTTGCTGAGAGAGATTTTAGATGTCCCATTCCTGGAAGTGTTCAAGGCCTGGCTGGCTGGGTCCCTGAGCAACCCAATCTATTGAATGGCATCCCTGCCCAAGGCAGGAGGGTTGGAACGAGGTGATCTTGAAGGTCCCTTCCAACAAAAACCATTTTGCGATTCTGTGATGGAGGAGATGGAGGTGGGAATGAGAGGTCTGGTTTTCATTTTGTTCTCAGGCCGTGCTCAGGCAGGTTTGAGTTAGTCTTTCTGACTACTAGAAATGCAGATAAGACACAGTTTGGTGAGATCTGCTGAGTCTGAGCCCATTAAAGGGAAAGACAGACTCAGCATAACCTGATTTCTCCGAATGTCTTTGCTCTGTGTCTTGCTGTACCAAATCTGAAACCTTCCTGCAGCACCTGCTGAATGCCAAGCAGATGCATTTAAGGAGTACAGGGTTACCTGACTGCTCGTGTCCACACTGAAACTGCTGAAAAATAGTGGTATTTGGCTTTTGAAAGCAGTTGTTCTCCTTTTGAAAATCCTACACTGCTCTGTCCCCAGAGGGCAAAACCCCAGGGGCGGCGACGACTGAACACAATTTTCACATAATGCTTTAGCCTGAGCTTTAGGTTCCATACAGCCCTCAGAGGCCTTTTCTGTGTCCATGCTCCTCCTCTTTTGCAATTCAGAGTCCTAGTTCTTGTAGCTTGGGGTTTTCCATCTTGGGAGGATGGCAACTAACTCTTCTCCTTTGCCTGTTTTAGATCCTCTACTACTATAACCCCTGCTTCAACAGAGCACATCCCTGGCTGGTGGAAAGGTGCAGGAGGAGAGCTGCCCTCAAACGGAGAGCCCCAGGTGCAGTAGAGACGGATGGAAGACCCTTCAGAGGCCCAGACAGTCAGCCTGGGCAGTGAGGGCAAGCAGGGCTGGGCTTCACACAGGAGTCTTTCACCCGTGAGGACTGCACCGACCAAGGGATGTGCTGAAGCACCTCCCAGCATCTGCAGCCCCAACCCTGCACGTGGGCCCCAGACGTGGCACGTCCCCGAGATTGCAGAGATAATTTCTAATTAAAAGCGTTGTTACTAAATAGAGCCGAACAGAGTTGGAATAAAAAGATTTTAGTTGAGTTGGTATTAAACCGTTGGAAGAACAACCCTTCCCAGTTGTCCTCTGCTCTTTGCACGACCCCGGGGTGAGACCCCATTTGCCCGCCCACAGACCCCAGCAGAGGCAGCTCATCTGCCACCAGCTGAGCCATTTATTGGAAGAGCCCAGCCCGGAATTATAGCCTTAGAGAGCACAGGTGTGTGTTACTCCGCTGGCCGAAACCCAGGGATCTTCTCCACCAGGCTCTGGACCCACCCGATCCCGAGAGCAGGAGTCGGGCAGAGGACTCCGGCGGTTGGGCACTGCCACAGGCACCAAGCACCAAGCACCAAGCCTGCCCAGAGTAACCGATGTAACAGAGCGGGAAGGAGCTGAGCTTCCCTAACGCCGCGAGCACCCTGACGGGGCCGGCTGTGCTCAGAGGGAGCGGCTTTCACGGCAAGGGCTTCTTTTACTGCCGTGAGGAGCCCGGGGACGCGCCCCCGGAGCCGCCATGGCGGCCCCTCGCGGCCGGGCCCGCCCCCCGCTGGGCGGGGCCGTTGCTACGGGGCGCGCGCGGCGCGGGAAGCGAACGGCGGCCGCGGGGCGTCATGGCCGCCGTGTGCCTGGTGAGGGGCGGCCGGGCCGCCGGAGCGGGGCCTCCGGGCACGGCGGGGTGTCGGGGCGGTGCGAGGGGTCCCCGGGTGTGTCGGTGGGGGGCGGCTCTTGGGCCGTTGTGTCGCAGCCGGGGGGGTTGGAAGGCAGGGCTGGTGCCGGCCCAGGGGTGTTTGGTGCTGTGCGGGGCTGTGGGGCCGCGGTGGCGGTGGGAGGCAGTGCTGGGGTTGGGAGGGGGGTTAGTGCTGATGGGGGGGGGGCTGTGGGGTGGCTGTGCAGGTGGGGCTGGGGGCAGAGGGGTTTGCTGGAGCTTGGTGCTGCCCGGGGAGCCCGGGGTGTCGGGGGTCTGTGGCAGCTGGGGCTGAGCTGTGCCTGTGTGTAGGGGCACCTCTGGGCTGTTCGGGGGGCTCTGGGTCTGGGGAGCGCTGGTGCTGGGTGTTGTGGGGGGAAGTCAGCCCTGTTCTGGGGCTGGGCTCCGGTTTGAGCAGGCTGGGGTTGTGGTCAAGTCCTGAAGGGCAGAAGGCTGTGGTGGGCATTGCCAGGAGGTCAGAGGCTGTGTGTGTGAGAGAGCAGGGGTTGAAGCCTGATGAGCCTGTCCTGGTGTCTGGGCGATTTTCAGGTGTTAAAAGCTCTTGTAATGGTTCTCTCGGGTTTTTGTTTGTTTTTCTGCCTGGCCTCAGGCTTTGTTTGGCCTTTGCAGCAAGGTGCTGTGTTCCCCAGGTGTAGGGGATGGGTAGTTGGTCAGTCTGTTTTGCTGCAGTTCTGATCCCTCCTGCCTGTTTCAACAGGTGTGGTAAATCTTGCAAATTTGCCTCTTCTGTACAAATAGTGGCCTCTTTGCTACACCTGAGCTGGGATGAGCAGCTATCAGAGCAAAGATGAGCTTGACTGCCTGCTCAGGTGGTATGGACCTGGCTTGTCTGTCTATAGTCAGCTTTGGGGTCTCTATACCAGCATCATAAAAATGCATGAAGGATTCGTGCAAAGTCACGTAAGATCCAAGCTAATAACAGCTTGGATAATTTGCCTCTTTTAAAGTTTGTGATACATGTGAAATTTGTGTTTTGTATTGTGCAGTGTTCTTGTCTCTGCCTGGCTTTTGTGGGGTGAATATGTGGTTTGGCTCACCTGTTGTAGAAATAAAATAGTTTTATTGTGCCAAGATGGTTCTTAATCTATGGTGTCTGAACATTGTTGTCTTCTAGGAAGATCCAACCCTGGAGAGACACTTCAAAGGCCACAGAGATGCTGTCACTAGCGTGGACTTCAGTCTCAATAAGAAACAATTGGGTAAATAGTCTGTGTTTTGGTGGCCAGATGGTAAAGAAAGAGCTTCTCTGCTCTATTTAGATGGAGAGAGGAGTGGAGGTACTGAGCTCTGCAACAACAAAAGGTCCTGCTGGCCCTTCCTGCTAACAGCAAACTGAGCACTGCTCTAGTCACCTTGCAAGCTTGTGTTTCTCATGTTGCTAAGAACTGCTGAGCTGACTTTGATCAGCGTTTTCAGAAGGGAGAGATGCTGGAGGGAGATGTAGCCAGGTTGTCTTTACGTCACCAACTCACTGCTCTCTGTAATCTGTGGTGTGTTACTTGATATTTAACCTGCTGCAGCTGACACCTGCCTCTGCTTCCCAATGAGAAAGTGACGAGATAACCTTCATTCACAGGCCTTCTGTGTATTCCATGAGTGTGTATTTAACTGGAAAAAGCTTTACAAACCTGTGTGGCTTTTGCCTCTGCAGCTGTTGCACGTCCAGGCTCTTGGAAGTGAATTGTCAGTCGGAGGCAATGCATGGCTGGCCTTGTTTTGTTCGAATTGCTAATGAAATACACAATGTGCAATACACTGGTGAAGCTTCAAGGACAGTGTACCTGAGACTGCTGGAAGCAGGGTAGTGAACTGAGTGTGAAATGTAGGTTTAGTGTAATTGGAGGAGAACTAAGGCAAGTTTGGTTTTGTTTTTCCTTTTTTATTTCAGCAAGTGGCTCGATGGATTCGTGCCTGATGATCTGGAGCATGAAACCTCAGATGAGAGCCTATCGCTTCGTGGGCCACAAAGATGCAGTGATGTGTGTCCAGTTTTCACCTTCTGGTCACCTGGTGGCTTCAGGCTCCAGAGACAAAACAGTCCGGTTATGGATCCCTAGTCTGTGAGCACCTGTTCCCTCCTGTCTCTCTTTGTGTTTTGACCATGGCTTGGGATTTCTCCTTGCTTCTTGGTGGCAGTTCTCCAGCTATGGGACTGGGATCTGTTAGAGGGAAAGTAGAACCACTTGATGTGAGGCCTCTGACAGAGGAGAGATAATTTGGTCTTGAAATTGTGTGGAAAACAAAACCAAAATCCTTTGCAAAGATTAAAATCCGTTGTAACTTCTTATGCTAATGTAACAAGCCGCTGATGTAACTTATCAGTGGTGAGCTGTTGGATTTTTCTTACTTAACACTTCCTGAAATAAACATAAACAGGAGAGTGCCGAAGGACTTGTGCTTGAAGACCTAATCTTGCTGCAAGGAATGAGAAGCATTTTGTGGCCAAGATGCAGAAAAGCACCTGCCAATGTTTCCTCTGATCTCTTGTTTCCCACAGTAACAGTGGAGTTGTTTCTCTGAATGGACAGGGATATGAATAGGGGTTGGAGATTCTTTTGCTTGTGAGCTTGTAAATTGCAACTGTCAGAAGACTAAAGGAAAAAAGCAGACCGGATGATTGTGGTGGCAGATAAAAGGCATTTAAAAAACAAACAAACAAAAAACCCCCAACAAAACTCAAACCTAACAAAGCCACACAAAATATATATACCCTTCAGGAACCTGGGAAAGCACTGTTTGTTTCTGATGGGTTCTTCTGTTATGATTACACATTGGAAACTTTATTTGGTCTATTAAACCTAAGTAATCTCTGTCATGGAACTGATGTGTTCTGAAAGTGACTTTTTAAAATTCATGATAAAAGTGCTTTTTAATATCTTAATTACAATGGAAATTACAATCTGCAAATTTTAATTCTACTTCACTATAAATTATTTTTGTAATTTACTTATTTTAGTTCAACTTTCCTATAAGGAATGATCACAAGGACATATTGGCATGTATGTTATTAAAAGGCACAAGGTGGATTAGGATTAAAATTTAACCTTGCTGCTCATCAATCCCCTACAAAGACGGAGACTGACTCTGTCGTTTTGCTGTCTCCAGAGCTGATCACACAGAATACTTAAAATAAATTACAGCACAAACTTGTTAGAGTTCTCAGAAGCTAATGTATATATTTTTAGAAAGGACTGAGATGTGATGGGAAAACTGAATGTGTTCTTGGGTGATTCTGTCCTGGTTGCTTAGCCATGTGAACTCTGAGGTCAAAACTGTACCTTTGGCTGTCAAGTCATGTCAGAAAAGGGCCACTGTGGAAAGGGAGTTATTGTTATGCCAGTTGTTGATACCTTGGTGCATGGCACCTGGAGTCTGTGTTTGTTTAATATTCTTTGTCAGTTTACCTTCTCCAAATATAACAACAGAGTGGGGATGTTGAATCAGGTTTGAGACCTTCAAATTGACACTTCTGCACTGTCATTAAAAGGGGAGAGAGAACCTGCCCCATGGTTTGTGGGGTAGGACTTTATTTCCAAATAATCTCAAAATTTACAGTCCCTTATTACAAGGGCAATATGTTACTGAAGGAGCTAATGCTGCTGTGGCTTTCTGTCTTTGGGAGTTGTTTTTTATGGGCCACAATGACAGAATTTTATAATTTCACGTTTCTGCATGAGATTTCTTCAGAGTTGTGGATATTCTGTAGTTTTGCACAGAAAGAAAACTTTCCTGAGAAGTAACCTTTACACTTGCTTGCCTTGTGGCAGACAGAGGATTAAATAAAACTAGGCAGCTCTGACCTTTTCTGAAGAGGGAGGGAATATTGCTGGAAGGTGGGTAGTATTTTGATTTTTTTGGCCTTTGTGGTTTTGGTAATCCTCAGCCTCAGTACAGAGTTAAATCCTAACGGAGAACGGAGTGAACCATCATGTTTTTCTCTTCTCTTCAATCTGTGAACATGGAGCTCCTGGTAGACTAAGAGTTCCATAAACCTGTTGGATCTCTAAATATGTTGCACTTTGTGTCTCTAAATATGCCTTACATTTATTTGCCAGAAGAATGCCTCTTGCATTTATGTGTAAAGAAGAATAACAGCGCCCTGACTCTGTTCTTGCCTGGCTGAGTTAATAGTGGTTTGCTCACAGTTGTACAGCATCAGGTGTGCTGAATTTAGTTCTGTTATTTCTTGTGTGGTGCTGCATTGGAATTGTCCACCTGGAGCTTGGGCCTTTACAGGAAAAGTTGTGAGGTCATTGCTTGCTTGGCTCTGTCCGGATGAACTGTGGAAAAACCTCCCTCCTCACCTGCCTTGCAGCAAAGGGCCAGGCAACAGCACCTCAACATCTTCTTTTATATTGATATTTCC